TTCATGAGATAAATTTCCATTGATAATTAAGTGAGCAGATTGGGATTTATATATTTGTTGCAAACTATCTATGAAATATCCTTCCATCCCTGTGCTCTAATACATTCAAACAGAAAGGTTCAACTCAGATTATTGAACGCTTTTTCTGTGTTGACAAACATCATGGCCATTTGTTTCTCATTATGTATATGATAATACTCAATCAGGTTCAGTATTTCCCTCGTATTATTTCTAATATATCTTCCAGGAAGGAATCCATTTTGGTCTAACTGGATTTTTTCTTTTAAGATATCTTTAAGTCTTTTGGACAGGATATTTGTATAGAACTTGTAATCAATGTTAAGTAAAGCAATAGGTCTATAATTTGCTATGCTCTCTGGGTCCTTCCCTTCTTTGGGTATTAATACTATATTGGATTTTTTCCAAGAATCTGGTATACCTTCTTTTGGAATCTGATTGAACAATCTTTGAAGTGGCTGTACTATCTCTTCCACAAAAATCTTGTAATATTTAGCCGTGAAGCCATCTGGACCCAGTGACTCATCTTCTTTTAATTGTTTTATAGCATCTCTTATTTCTTGTCTCTTAATTGGTTCATTTAATAATTCATTTTGTTGTTGCGAGATTTTAAACATGTTTTTGTCTTTTAAATAAGTCTGCACTTTTTCAACAGTGTCCTTATCTGGTTCATGAAATAAATTGGCAAAATATTCTGTAAAACATTTTTGTATCTCTTACTGGGTGGTTAACTGTTGGTCCTTATGTTTTATTTTGGTTATAATCTTCCTTTCTTTTTCTTTCTTTATTTTGTAAGTTAACCATCTGCCAACTTTGTTTGCATGTTCAAAGTGGGATTGTCTAGATAATTTTAATTTTTTTGCTATTTCATCCGTAATTTGGGCTTGTAATTCCTTTCGTAAAATTTGTATTTCTATTTTTATCTTACTGTCTTTCGGTTTCTTCCTAAGTTCTTCCTCTTTGGTTTTCATCTTTTCTGAAATCTGTCTTATGCTGTCTTGTTTTTTTCTTTTATTTTCTATAGCTCTCTGTATAAGTAAGCCCCTTACCACCGCTTTACTCGCTTCCCATATCGATTTTATTTTAATGTCGTGGTTTTTTCTCTAAAATAATTCTTCAGATCAGTTTTCAATTTCCCTATAAACACCTCATCATTGAGTAAGGTTTCATCTAATTTCCACACATATTCTTTCTTGGGATTGTATAACTCTAATTGAATTATGTTATGATCCGAAATCAACTTTGATTTAATTTCCATCCTTTTAACACAAAGTAGAGTCTCTTTAGATATCAGTGCCATGTCAATCCTTGAAAAACACTAATGTCTATCTGAGTAGAAAGTAAAACCCTTAGAAACCCTATAGTTGTGTGTCCATATGTCAATTAGTGTGTGCTCATCCATCAATTCAAAAAAAGTTTGTGGAAGTCTACCTTGATTATCTTTTATCTTTTTTTTTGGAAGATCTATCATTATGAGGATCAATAACCCCATTAAAGTCTCCTATAATCAATAGGTTTCTTCTATTTAAGTTTATTAAATTTTTATTAAGTTCTTTAAAAAAATTCCTTGCTTCTTCAGGGGTACATATAAACCAACAATAGTCAATTTTTGTATTTAATAGTTGAACCTCAACTACTACATAGTGACCTTTATTATCATTGTATATTTCTTCAAAAAGGCCAATGCAATTTTAGGCTGCATCAATAGAAGTATAGTGCCTAGATCAAGAGAAGTAATAGTGCCACTCTATTCTGCTTTGGTCAGGCCTCACCTGGAATACTATGTCCAGTTCTGGGCACCACAATTCAAAAAAGATGTGGAAAAACTGGAGCATGTCCAAAGGAGGGCAATTAAAATGGTAAAGGGTCTGGAAACCGAGCCCTATGAGGAACGACTTAGGGAGCTGGGAATGTTTAAGTTTACACTAAAAACCTGGTAAAATTAATATAGCAATAGCAATAGCAGTTTCATTTATATATTGCTTCATACCAGGCTATGCTGTCTCTAAGTGGTTTACAACTGTAAGCTAATTGTCCCCAACAAGCTGGGTACTTATTTTAGCGACCTCGGAAAGATACAAGCCTGAGTCGAGCCTGAGCCCTGGCTGATATTGGTCTCGCAATCTTGTGGTTTGTGAGTGAGTTGCTACAGTACAGGTATTCAACCACTGTGCCACTAATATGTGATATTGTGTTATTGCTCTCATTATTTTCACACACGAGCCTGGAATATCAAGTTAAGCCATTAGACAGCTGACATTTTCAACAAAATGGACTGGAGGAAAACCTGGTCTCAGTTATGCTATCACAAATTCTTGACCTGTAATCTGCTGCCATAGTTTACTGGAAAAAGAAATCAATAAAAGCAGGAGAGAAGTAATCATCAAGTGAAGTTCCTAGAAAGCATGATTTCTCCCCCAAGAACAATCAATGTGCTTCAAATTTTACACTAGAATACTCAATTTGTTTCAAATCCTTGCATCCATTAAGCCTCTGGGACAGTCTACACATCATGATCACTTGGGGAGGGGGGGTGGCTACTGGAAACATCTCCTGAGCAGTGACTGCTTCACAAAGTAGTTGTAAAGTATGGAGCTGCCTGCCCTGTGGATCTATCAAACAGATGGAAGGTGCCCGTTGGCATGTGCCACAAAAAAACATCTTGTGGAGTTGTGGAGATATGCCATGTTACAAGGATAAGCCACACAGCATGATGGTATTTTGCCCATTGTATAGAGCAATCACTGTGAAGGAACTGTTTCAGTGGTCTCCAGCTGGCAAGTATCCTATGGAGGCCCACATGTTTTTCAATGTATAAATGAAGCACTTTATATGGCAGACAGTGCTAAAGAAATGAGAGCTGTCAAATTCATGGACTTTGTGGCATTTTAAAGATTAGGAAATTGGGTATGGCATAAACTTTCATGCACACTATGCACTTTATCTAATTTATACAGTGCTACCTCAAATTGGCAGATTTAGATGCACATACTTCAATGATTGGGAAAGTATTATAAACTAACTTGGAGGTCACAGGGAATTGAAATGCAGAAAGTGCAGGCTGTTATGGTACAACAGAATCAAAAATATGCATTGTAGTGATACCTTCATTAGACCATCCAAAAGGTGCTAATACACTATACAAGCTTTTAGAACTCACTGGCTTCTTCATAAGACAAAGTCATTTAAATCATACAGAAAAAAAGGGAATGTCAGAGTCATGGCCCTGTATCCTCATTAAACTTACTGTGGGATTTGTTGTATTTTGCAGAAAGGCCAATATGGCTGTACCTAAACATATAAATTGTTACTATCTAGATAAATTTGCCAGTTTTCCTTTCTTCCACATTCATTTCTTTAAAAATTTGTCTAAATCCAAAACTGAAAAATGCTGTCACACTCATAAACATATTTTGGAATACTGGTAAGTCTTCAATTAAAAAAGCACCTAAAAAAATTCTCAGCCATGTTTTATCTGCCTGCTATGCAGATATTCTGGCAGCATAGAGAGAGAGATGCAAACCCAAGTCCTTTAGTACAAACATAACTGAATACATAGGGATTCAAGCCGTCACTTTCAGAAGTTAAGCATGCAAAGACATCAGCCTGGGACCAGGTGCATGAATCTGACATGTTCATTCTCTTTCAGTGTTGTATACATGTTGTCCTAAAGGTGACATATCACTGGACTGTACAAATATGAGGGAAACCTAATGAAATGTTCCATCAAAAGATATTTTGCTGCCTCAGGCCAAGGCCAAGAATGGTGCCCCTTTCTATTGTTGCATGTCTTCAAGTCATTTGCAATTTCATAGTGACCTTGAGGCAAACCTATCATGGGGTTTTCTTGACATGATTTAGGTGCTTGCTTTGGTCTTCCCCTGAGGCTAAAAGAGTGTGATTTGCCAAAGAACACCCAGTGGCTTCCATGGTCTAGCTGGGATTCAAACCCTGGTCTCCAGAGTCATAGTCCAGTGCTCAGACCATTACACCATTCTAGCTCTGTCTTTCCCAGATAGAGTAATTTTTAAAAAAGAGTGCTTTACTTGAATTACACTGAGCATATTAAAGTGATTTCCCAACCAGTCTAAATATTTCATGCAATATCTCATCTAAAATGGTGAAAATACACAATATAAATGAGGATGGTGGTGGTGGGGATCATGATTGATCTTGTTATTTGACACTTGTTAGCTTATTTGTCTGGCTTGTCTTTAAAACTAATCATTATAGCAAATTAATATACCAGGAATATTTGTTATATATTTGGTTTCAACTCAATTAGAACAAAGGACAAAAGCAAAAACAAATCACAATAACACATTTCAATATAAATTTGAGATGTAGTTTTCCTTCAGGAGATACTCAGTTTTTAGTTTTGAACAAATCCCTCCAAAGCTTTAGGGTTCTTAGGATACCAGGAGTCAATTTTTAACAATTTTATTATTTTCTACAGGGAATCTTAATTCAAACACAACAAAACACTGGAAGAGGTAGTGTTCTGGGCTATGTGACATCATCAAAGCTTTTTTTACATCAACATGGGATCCCAGGAGGATAGAAGCAAGATATAAATAATATGTGTCATCTTCCAGATGAGAAAGTTTTGCAGTTAGTTATAGAAGGCTCCAGCTTAATCAGTGGGAGTATATATGGTGCCTGGACTCTACGGAAACATAAAACAAAACCTCTTAGCTGTAAATGTAAGGCTAAGCTGATCACTCATTTACCAAAGAACTCCAACATGTTAGTATTTATCCTTCTCTGTATCCCTTTTTTGCAGAATGGTTTGGATTGAACCAGGATTACTACATCACTTTGAGGATGTTGACTTCAATCCATGTTTAGACTTGCTCAAAGTATATCCAATGAAATCAATAGGACTTGAGTTTGTTATTGTTAGCTGAAGCCTTGTTGTGTTCAATAGGTCTATAGCTGTGATGGCAAACCTATGGCACATGTGCCAGAGATGACATGCAAAGCCATTTTTTTCATCACACAGAGAGCATGGTATAGGAGGAACAGGTGCACACCTGTTCCTCCTCTTTCCAGCCATCTCAGTCCTTCAGCTGCTTCTGGAAAGGCAGCGCCCTGGAAGTCCCATTGCCCAGAAGTCCCCCTGGCACCAGGTAATACCCAGTGCTGGGAGGCTTTTTATTTTGGGCATTCAGTCTCTGAAAGGTTCAGCATCACTGGTTTATAGTCTAGACAAAGTCTGGATTCATTCTATTTATTTTTCTCAGTAATGAACCCATGTCCTACTTATCTCTGCATTTGTCCAAATCTTGTTTGTCCACTGTCCTGGTATAGTCAAGGAACTTTATTTGTGAAAATCAAATACTTGCAGAAGGATTATGGCCTGCATCCCATATGTTGGCGGTGCCTTCACCTGTTTAGAGCTGCACAATTTGTAAATAGTTCCCCAGTACATTGTCATCAACATATTCACCAAAATTTCTGAATGAAACCTTCTTAAGAATCTAGGGTAGCCCAAAGAGCCTGGAAGAGACAAGGAAATGTATTATGGCAAAGTGATGTGGAATGTCCCCATAGGAATGTAACTCATTGCTAGCAATGACCATTAAATGTAGTCACAAACTGTATTTTGAAAATTCTTAATGAGAGGTATGTATAAGTTTACAAGTTTGTACATATACTGATAAAAAGAAAAATGAATGGCTCCTATAACAAATTAGGCCTGAGCTCTCACTAGATGCCAAGATAACTAAACTTATGTTGTCACACTGTGGATGCAACATGAGACAATGTTACTCAGCATTTGCTTACAATGGTCAGAATGTTCCAGGCTGTTCCTGGAGTATTCTGGCCTTGGAGCTGTTCCAGATTCCCCCCATTACTGCCTCTCACCATAGTGACATTGGGTGACTGTCTACATATGTACCCCACTATGGCACCTGGCACCACCATCACTGGCATGAGTCGCTTCCTCTGATGTCAGAAATGAGATGTCCAGCATTAATCATGGCTGGGCACCTCACTGTGTCATCAGAAGAAGCAACTCATGTGAGCAATGCTGGCACTGGGTGCACAGCAGGGCATGTATATAAACAGCAATATGACATTACTATGGAGTGCTTTGGATTTTCCTGAAAAATCTGGAGGAAAAGATGAAAGGATTTAAAAAAAAACATTTAGGCAGAGATAAGGTAGATTCAATGCAGGCAAGTGCAAGAGGCAACCCTGCAGGTTTGAGCATAAATGCAACACCTGTGGGGGTGGTCACCCTGGCGCCTCCTGTAATAGAGGTAAGAGGTCAGGAGCAGGTAGCACTCACCAGCCAGCTTTGCTGGGAGGAAAAGGGTCCATCACCAATTAAGTTAGACACAATGGTGGCATGGCTCAAGATATACCCTAATAAAGAGGCTGCATCTTATTTATTTAATGGTTTTTCCCTAGGTTTTCCTATTCCTAATACAGGTCCTAGGGTACATCGTTATGCGCCCAATGCTCGTTCCGTGAGGGAGCTGCTGAATATTGTGAGGGATAAATTAGCAAAAGAAATAGCTGTGGGAAGGATTTCTGGACCCCATGATCAGTTACCTATTCCCATGCTCCACCTATCTTCGCTGGGTGTGGTTCCTAAAAAAGCCCCCGGGGAATTTAGGTTGGTTCACAATTTATCATACCCAAAGCATGACTCTGTGAATGATGCTATAGATCCTGGGCTTACCTCTGTTAAGTACTCATTGTTTGATACAGCAGTTAAGAAGATTAGGAATTTAGGCAAGGGAGCCCTTTTGGCTAAGTGAGACATTAATTCCGCTTTTAGGCTCCTTCCTGTTCACCCAGATGATTTCGACTTACTGGGTTTTCAATTTGAAGGGAAGTATTTTTTTGATAAAGCCATGCCAATGGGATGCTCAATTTCTTGTTCAGCCTTTGAGACATTCAGCGCCTTTCTCCATTGGTGTGCAGTTAAGCGAACAGGCAATAGAGCCATAACACATTATTTAAATGATTTTTTGATCACAGGCAATCCCAATTCTTCACAATGTAGGGATTCTTTAGCCCAATTTCAGGAATTAATGTATGAGTTCGGTGTTCCCTTAGTTGAAGAAAAGATTGAGGGGCCAGATACAGGGCTTACTTTTTTGGGTATCGAGATTGACACCATAGCTGGGATTTCTCGATTACTGAGTGATAAATTGGTGGCTATGAGGCAGCAGGTTAGTGTCATGTTGTGAAGGCATAAAGCTACACTCCATGAATTTCAATCCCTTACAGGAGTTCTAAATTTTGCCTGTAGGGTTATAGTTCTGGGACGAGCATTCTGTGCAAGATTGTATAGGGCTACTGCTGGAATAGTGGCACAACACCATCACATTAGGATCACAAGGGGCATTCGTGAGGATTTGAAGGTGTGGGACTCCTTCTTGGAACAATTCTTTTTGTAGGTCTGAAATACTGCTGAGGGCAGACTTTCAGGTCCACTTGGATGCTGCTGGCGCCCATGGTTTTGGTGTTTACTGGAATGGCCAGTGGGCTGCAGAGGTGTGGCCTTCTGCATGGGTTGAATGCGGTCTGACTAGAGACCTGATGTTTTTGGAACTTTTCCCCATAGTAGTGGCTGTGCACTTGTGGGCAAGCCAGTTTGCTAACAGGACCATCTGGTTTTGGTGTGACAACCAGGCGGTCATTCATGTGGTAAATTCTCAGTCTTCCAAGTCCTCTAGAGTTATGGGTTTGGTGAGGGCAATGATCATGCAATGTTTGAATTACAATGTGTTATTCAAAGCTCAACATGTTCCTGGTGTGCTTAACCCTTTGGTGGATGCCCTTTCTTGTTTTCAGCTCTCCAGGTTCCCGAGGCATCGACACACCCATTGGAGGTACCGGCCTTACTTTGGAGCCTTGGAGATTAGAAATTCACAGGGCAATCTTGAATTCCATCACTCCATCTACATGCAAGTCCTATCAAACAGGTTTAAATTCATTTAATCAATTTTTATTGGAAATTGGGGAGGACCAAAGTTGGCCAATTAGGGCTGACCTGTTCCTACATTTTATAGTTTATCTTAGGCATGTAGGACTTTTGCCTGTCTCTATTAGAGGCAGGTTGGCCACCCTGGCATTTCACTCTAGGGTAAGGGGTTGTTTTGATCCAACCACAGACTTTAGGGTTAAAAGAGCTGTGGAACGTTGGTCCAGGGAATCTCCTGTAATAAAGGACTCATGATGGCTGATAACAGGCCCTGTCCTGGCTTGGTTATGAGAACAATTAGCTGATGCATGTTATTCAGCTGGGGAAGCAGCTTTATTTAAGGCAGTATTTGCCATAGCCTTTTTTGCCGCATTAAGAATCAGTGAGATCGTGCCCAGATCTTGCAATGATCAATCTGGCAGGGCACTATTAATTTTCGATGTTATCTTAACAGAACAAGGGATTCAGATTTGTGTTAGGTGCTCTAAGACTTATCAGTTAGCAAAGGGTCAGTCTATTTTCTCAACTAAAGCGCCTAAGGGGCAAATTTGCCTGGTAATAGCAATGGCCAACTATTTGAGGATTAGGCCCAATGTGGTGGGCTATATTTTCATTCATCTGTCTGGCAAGCCCTTAACTCAATTTCAGTTTAGAGCAGCGCTGAAGGAGATGCTAAGGCGGGCTAAGCTGCCTCAGGCTTCCTTTTCTTCACACTCCTTTTGTATTGGAGCAGCAACAGCTTCGGCCACTCATGGCTTGAGTGAAGCTGATATTTGCAGAATTAGCCAGTGGCATTCCCGAGCTTTCAGGTTATATGTCAGGCCATCGGGGAACATGACTCCTGATCAGTCTTGCTAATTTGTTCTATTTCCTTCCAGCTGGCTTTTATCATGGCTCGATATGGATTATGGGCCATATCTTCTGGGCCATATCAGTTTGGTCTTCTGGGTGGAATGTCACCTTCTGAAACATTGGTGCAACTCCACTTTGGTCTGTCACACATTGGAACCACTAAGTGGTTTGGACAAAGGGGCATGATGTGGGGAGCACTCCTTCTGA